TACTTAAACAGAAAACGGAGAAATGTACGCAGTGTTTCTATGGTAACAGCAGTCATGGTAAACAGCCATGACTGACAGCAGCACACCTGTGTGTGTGTGTGTGTGTGTGTGTGTGTGTGTGTGTGTGTGTGTGTGTGTGTATATGTGTGTGTGTGTGTATACGGTGGCCCCTAGACCGAATCAGAGCTAAAAGTGAACCTAAGCACTAAATATTAACTTTTGTGAGGAAGCAAAAAGAAGCTGGAGAGCTTTTAGAGAGCAATGATCAGTGCTTATATCAGTGGAATAAATGACTGTCAGAGTGAAAGTGCTCACTGTAGCTTTGGTTTCAAGAATTTGAATGAATGTCTGATCACATCAGACTTATGAGGAACAATGTGGTTTCTGTCTCTGTTGTGGAACACTGCGAAAGCTCTTCATCCTCATGAGGATATATGAGGATCTGTGGGAGTTCACAATCATTCTGTAATTTCTGGACTCACAAACCTCCTACTGGGAGTGTTCAGGAGTGTGTGGTATATTCCTTGTACAGCTGTAGTGAGAGCGCAGTTGGCATCATGCTCGTTCTCAGTAGGTGTTGCTCTCTGACAGAGCTGCTCTCTGTATGTAGCTATTGTTTGTTTTTCGTTGGTAGTTTTTCTGGACAGAATTTCTCATCTGTTCACAGACGATGTAGTTCTTTAACTTTATTGAGCGGCAACTTCCACCTGTCTCTGGGGCGAGGTCAGATGTGAAGTGGGAGGGAAAAGCGTGAGCACCTCCACATCTGAGGTTGTGGTTCTTGGTTGCTGCTCTAAGTGGAGTTCAGTATCTCAGGATATTTTTGAATGTGTGAGCAAAGGAGGGAGCGAGAGCTGTACCAATTTGTTGTTATGAAGAGAGCTGAGTGTGAAAGTGAAGCTGGTGATTTACCGGTCGATCCACATTCCCAGCTCAGCTCTGGGTAGTGACTGAAACAATGAGATGACAGATACAAGTGCCAGAAAACATTTTTGTGACAGCTCTCTTTTAGAGACAAGGTGAGGTGGGGCTCAGAGTAGAGCCGCACCTCCTCCAGATTAAAAGGAGTCAGCTCAGGTGGTTTTGGGCACCTCAACTAGAAGGAGAGCCTGGGGCGGACCCAGGAGCAGGTTTGGGAATGCCTTAGTGCTCCACCGGGAGAGCTGGTGGAAGTGGCTGTGTGCAGGCAAGTCTGAGCATTTCTGCATAGACTGATGGAGACCCGTCCATCATTTGGACATGTGATTGACTACTTTTGCATGCAACTCTCTGACTGTGTAATGATTATCTTTGGTTGACTACAACTGCTAATCACAGATTATAAAGTATAATGTGATGTGACCTGAAAATGATTATTGAATTGGGCATTTTACTGAAGGTTTGTTTTCTTTGCAGGTAATAAAATAGATTTGGACAAAGACAGACATGTTTCAGTGGAAGAGGCTGAGAGGTAACAACTGCTGCTTATTAGTCAATAATAATACTTTTATTATTAGTAGAAAATATAATGAAGAAAAATTAAAGTGAGCATCATTATTTTATATTTCCCACGCCGAGCTGCTCAGCTGTGAGCAGCGACGATGTCCTGAGTCTGAGCAAAGTTTAATGGCCACTCTCATGTTCGTGTGCAGTTATGCCGAGTCGGTGGGAGCCAAACACTACCACACATCAGCCAAGCTAAATAAAGGCATCGAGGAACTCTTTCTGGATCTGTGTAAAAGTAAGACCGACAGCATCTTTAATTTTTTTTCACAATACAAAAAGATCAAAGAGCAGCAAACTTTATATTTCTTGGAGGCTTAAGGAACAACTTCTACAACATATTTTTGTTTAAGGCGGACATGATTTATTCTTTAATTATAAAACACATTTTGTTAAATCGCTTGATTTCCTGGCAGCTTGTCCAAATCACATTAGTTAATCACATTAACCATATCCCTAGACATTTTGTCATAGACAGGTGCAGTTCTGTCCAGGATTGGCTGATTAGATGTTTGTGATCACACTAAACAGGTTAACTGAACAAATAGGCCAGTGAGTGAATTCTGTTCATTTGACACAAAGTTTCTGTCAATAATTCTAAGGTTGAAATCAGTGGTGTGCAAATATGTGTGCAGAATTCAAATCTGTAGGAAACAGGGCGTAAAAAAAACCTTTCTTTGAAACTCGGGATCTGACCTTTGACCTCTGAACTGGTCTACTGTGTTTTCAGGGATGATGGAAACTGCTCAGGCTGAGGAGAGGTTGAAGGGCAACGGAGCCAGCCAATCAGCATCAAGTAGGCGGGGTGTACAGATTGTTGAAGATGAACCACAGGCCACGCCCGCTGGAGGCTGCTGCTCCTCTGGCTAACACACACACACACAAGCACACACACACACACCTTCTCTCTGTGCTTGCAGACATAATATCCACACACACATTTTCCAGTGTCTGTCGGTCCGCTCTACTGTAATCTGCTGTGTCCATTCAGCGCCGCCTCTGCTGCTAAGGAGCATGGGAAATCATATTTAAATTTGTTTAATCTGTGTTCCCTTCAAAATAAAAGTACCTGGAGTCCTTATGATTAAAAGGAGTGTGTGTTCAGTGATTAAATCACTTTCTTTAATGATAATAACTCCCCATGTTAGTTTGTCGTTGATAAACGTCCATCTGCAGCTGTTTGTGTGTTTGTACTAAACATTATTAATAAAAGACATGAAATCATTCTGAGGACAGAAAGTTGAGTCTCAGGCTTTTAACACAGATTTTTGTTTTTGTGTATTGGGGGAAATAGGGGTTTAACGCACACACACCCAACCGCACACACATACATATAATACTACCCCCATTAATCTTCATGTTTATCTGAAGCATGTTTTCAAACTAAGAGGAGGAACACAGGACTGGCTGTTTGTGGTGCAGCGGCTCCACCTGCTGGTCAAAAGTTAAACTGCAGTGAATTGGTAAAACATCAAAAATGAGTTTAAATGTTTACTTTCGGATGTTAAAACACTGAAAGAATACAGGGTGTTGCTTTTCATAACACGGCTGTCCAATCCACATTTTCTTTTTTTTAGAGGAAGACTCACACAAGCGGCTGTAAGACGATGAATATAGAAACTCAGCAGAGTCGGGTCACATAATTGTTAAATGGTGCTGTGCAGAGTGACATCACTTAGGCTACGTTCACACTGCAGGCGAAAGCGCATCAAATACGATTTTTTGACCCTATGCGACCCATATCCGATCATGGTCTGACAGTGTGAACGGCACAAATCCGATATTTTCAAATCCGATCTGGGTCACTTTCGTATGTGGTACTGAATCCGATACATATCCGATGTTTCAGAAAGCGACTGCTGTTTGAACGTTCAAGTCGCATTAAATCCGTCTTTTACGTCACTGACACAAGACAGACGCCAATTATCAGCGCCCGAGAAGACATCGCGAACGCTTCCTGGCCATCCAGTGAAACTGCTGGGAAGACAACGCTGGAGAAACGTGAACATTTTATTTGTACTGTATAATCTGCAGACTCTGACAGAAATCTGCAGCTATCCTTTGAAGCACCGCTCCTCTAAAACAGCAATAAGGATAATTATTAGGTTATTTACATTATTATGTAAATAACAAAATAACTTAAAGCAAAAATTGGGAAACGTGAAGTCCGAAGTCTTTATATTAAGGGCCATCAGTCAAACAATATTGTTTGCTCTGGGTCTAAACATAGCGCGTTGTGTGTGACGTCTTCTTTTGCGCATGCGGGCCGCTTTGAGCGTTCACACTAGAGCGCGTTTGCTGTCACATTTTATTTGTAGTGTGAACGAGCAGACAAAAAAATCGGATTTGATCAAAAAATCTGAATTGAGCATCAAGACCTGCAGTGTGAACGTAGCCTTAGTCAGGTGGACAAGGACTCTACGGAGCATGCTCTGTGGGTGCAGAACAAGCCCTCCGAGACCTTGAGCCACATTTTAATAGTGAATTTTGTAATTTGATTTAAAGAGGGAAGAAAATGTGTGAAGTCAGATTTTGATCGAAGCAGGAAGCTGTTAAACACATTGCTAAGAAGCAGAACTGCAGTTATAGATTCCCAAAATAAAAATAATATGAAAACAGATGTGTCTAAACTGAATAATAGAAAAGAAACGTGGGAAATGAAAAATTTATTGCTGAAACAGATTCTTGGTTTGTAAAGGAAGTAAAACAATCTTTTGTATTAAAAGTGCTGAAAAATCGAAATGTATTAAAAAAAGGCTATTCCTCACATTTAGTCAGTTATTACATTTGATCGGTAATATAGCCAGTAAAATCTCAGAAAAGTGATTAGTGACGTGTTTAAATGACTTACATGTGAAAGTGTAATGATATTTAGAGGTCCTATTGACAGGGAAGAAGGTCTTTATGGTGTAAAGTAACAGTAAATGGCACTTTTGATGATCAAATGATTAGAAATGGGAAATTAAAACATTTTTGTTAAATGAGGGAGCACTGCCTCAGTGTCTCAACTGATTGTGCTTACGTCGCCCCCCAGTGGCAATTCTGAGACAGAAAAAAGGTATTTAATTTAAAATTACTGAAAACTGAAACTCAGTTGAATGTTCACATTAGAGAAACTGGAGTACATGATTCTTTCTCTTATTTTTTGAAGAAAAAAAAAAGAAAACCCCATGTTTTAATGGGTTTTACACACACACACACAGACACACACACTTATTGAATTGATACTGTGCATGTCTGATTTCTGTAACCAAGTTTGTCTGACTTTTCGAAAAAATAAAAAGCACTGACAATGCTGAAAATGTATTCATATTCTCATAGCAGTGATGAAAAGTGAAGTTTTCTCTCTTTTGTCTCAGCTGTGAACTACTGGTTTTTTTCCCCACTGCATTTGTCGCTCCAGTCATCTCTGCTCCATGAAAAACATTGTACACAAAAATACATAAAACACAGTGAGTGAATTGGTTCTTGCAGAAGAAGAAGAAAACAAAAATGATATTCTTCCCAAAAAAATAACAGATTGTTTTGGAAGTGTCACTTTTTTCAAACTGCTTGTTTTTTCATCATTTTTTTTTTAAGATGAATGATTTGTACCCAAAAGCAATGCTCAGACTTTTGTCTTCAAAGGGTAACCTTTTCCAGTGTTGCACACACTGATATGGAGTCCCAAAGAGCTAAAAATTAACAAATCACAAACTGAACAATATGGCCAGAAAAATGTTGCTACCTATATCACTTTGGTTTATCTTTCAGCTAAAGTTATGAACTCTGCAGGTTGATGTTGGTCTCGGAAAATGAGCTCATTACAAAAAACCCTCCAGGAAACAAACGCAGTCAAAGTGAGAGGAAAATACACCCTCAACACCTTTCAGTTCAAAGGTTTTGCATATCAGGAAATACAAGAACTTCTATAAAAGCAGACAGTTGCTGTTCTGGAGCATTCGGGTGTGTGTTAACAAAATACCTACAAGCATCAACATCAGTCTTTGAAGGGTGAAAAGGTCATCGCCAAACAATTTGACACCCATCTTTGTACACCGAGAAAGACTGTTGCCAGCCAGGTAATAAGTGAAAGTCCCAGTAAATTCAGAACGTGGAGTGTTCAGCGAAACTGAAAAAAAAAAACAAGTGCTCCATTTACAGGCCTCAGTTAGCATGTTAAAGGTTATATGACATTACAAATAGAAAAGGAAGAAACAAGCATGTCTTGTTTGGAAGGGTTGCCAGGAGAAAGTCTCTTTTGTCTAAAAGAAATACGACAGCTGCTCAGGTTTGCAAAGTTGCATCTGAGCAAACCTGAAGAGTTCTGGAACAATGTCTTTTGGACAGACGAGACTTAAGCGTTTGGCCATAATGCCCAGAGCCTTGTTTGGTGAAAGCCAGATACAGCATATCAGTGCAAATGACTTATTTCTACTTAAAGCTTAAAGGTAGTGGTGGAGAAGAGTGAACTGAAATTCCTCCAAAACAATGTGAGAACTGATAAAGTCATGCAGAAAACCATTATTTCTTAGTTTATTGTTGCCAAAGCGCATGCTACTGAATCATGGGTGAAGTTATTTCTCACACTGCTTCTACATTTTTGCTTGTTTTTTGTTTTGTTTTAAAAAAAACACCCTCTGTAATATGACATGTTGTTCTTCATCTCGTGATTTTAAAACCTAGAAGACTAGATTTTATTTTTTAAATTAAATACTCATGCATAAAACCTGAGACAGTAAAACATCCTGGATTTACACCAACACCATCTTTAGCTCCTTAGATTTCTCCTTTAACTCCTAATGGACATCCTCATTTTTATGCTGGTGTGTGTGAAAGATAGATGTCATTCATTGGACCCACTTTTTTGTGAAAACAGACTAAATTTAGGAAAAGAAAATAGAAACAACAGAAATCATGACATTCTTTTCTAAGTAAATATGATTCTAAAGGTGCCATTGACATGAACCTTTCACCAGATGTAGGTAACAACCCATCCAATCCACACATGCCAAAAAAAAATCAAACCTTAGATGTTCATAAATTATGTGAAATGGCATAGTGAAAAAGCACTGAACGCATAAAGAAAGGGAAGTGTAAAAATGCATCGAGTGTCTTGACTCCAGCTGAAATCAGCTGGTTCAGTCCCAACTGATGACCTAAAAAAACTGTCTCATTACCAAGGTGTCACACAAGAAACATCTCATAATGGGTAAAACCAACAAGCTCTCTCAAGATCTTCACAACCTTATTGTTGCAAAACTTTTAAACCAGTGAATGTTCCAGTGAGCGCTGTTGGGGCCATAATCCCACCACAACCAGGTGCTCCTCACAAAACTTCAGACAGAAGTGAAAATAATTATCAGAAGAGTTATCCAGGAGCCAAGGAGCGTTTGTGGAGAGCTAGACATGAAGGTCAGCAGGTACAATTCCAGCAACATGGCCTGTATGCACGCTCAACGCGCAAGACTCCATTGAGGTGTGTTTAAGGTTTACTGAAGAACATTTAACCAGCCTGTGAAATACTAGGAGAATATAGTCTCATCAGATGAGACCAAAATTAGTCTTTGGATGTCATAATACACAAACCATGTTAGGTCAGAAGGCACTGTATGTTGCCTTAGGAACATCAAAACACCGCACCAACTGTGAAGTCTGGAGATGGGAACATCACAGTGTGGGGCTGTTTTTCAACATACCTCAGAGCAGAAACAAACTAAAAATGTTTTTATAGACAACAGTGTTCCCATCACTCCTTCTACTTGTAACATATTCAAACTATATTAGTGGGTGATATTTCAGCTCCGTGTTATCAAGCCAGTTGGAAGCATAATATCAATTTTAATACCATTAATGAAGTTGTTAATAATACAAGTATTAGTTGCTATAGATACAGCATTAAATTCTTAAATAGAGCTTTTATTAAGCCTCCTTGTATGTTTTGAATCAATGAAATTTTAATTGGCATGAGTTAATTTGTCTTTCAAATATGACAAACACTGGGTGTGAGCATTTAAGAAGTGTAATCTTAAATTACAGGGGGTGATGGTGGCATTAAGGGTTTAATGTACGCTTGTGCACACTGGGTCTTTGAGGTTTCAAGGTGAGAATGACTCAGACTCCTGTTTTTCACGTGTGACCTAATCGACTTCAGAGCACACATCTCCACCTGCAAGTGATAAAGTCCCACCTCAGTATCTGGTAATTTCTTAATCTGGGAAGCCCCTTCTAATATGTCTTTATTGG